CCCAAGTCTTAATACGGCTCCTTTACGACGAACTCATTCACATCAAATAGATAGATTGCCAAACTCTTTTGAAGAGATATTAAATACAACTCATAGAACTGAAAGAGAAGTCAAAGCTTCTCTTTCAAAACTCAGGAGAATGATTCTTTTAGAGGGCTTGCCTGAAGAGGTATTTATTTTTGTGTGCTTGTATTAATAAACTGAGTTGTTTAATTAAATTTTATATTATTTATTTTATCAGAATCTTCCTAAATTGGCCCCGTCAGTTCAAAACTTGATTAGGCCTACTTCTATGCGCTCGAGAATTTGGAAGCATTTTCTCGGAATTTATCATGTATCTGCCAATGAATATATTCGCCTTATACAAAAGGGAAAGTCTTGCGTTTATGATAAAGTTCGAAATGATACGTTTAGGACTCTGGCCACAGATAAGAAATTTTTAGAACGAGTCAATGAAGATATGTTAATTCGTGTATTGAATGCTTTTGTCTGGAAAATGAAATGTAATTATTATTATCTTACTATATTATATACAGGGTTGGTCAATCTTGACCGAGAGTGTTTAATATTGGCCAAATTAGTTCAAACTATATATATTTTGTAAGTGGGAGCGGATTTAGAAGTTATTAATTAAATTAGAAATTTTAAAAGTAGAGTTTATTGAATATAAACCTACACCCTAACCTTAAAATCTTAAAAAATTTTAAATCAGCTTAAATTCCGTTCCCATTTACAACATATATATATTTAATTAATATATTATTTAATATTTATAATAATATTTTTAGCATCTACAATTTGTGGAAATCAAACGGTTACATATGTTCAGGGAATGAATGTCCTCGCTGCGCCTTTCTTATTTACTATGTCAGAGATAGACGCATTCTTTTCTTTTGCTACGTTTATTAAAACATGCTGTCCTTTATATGTTACACCCACACTTCAAGGGGTTCATTGTGGACTAAAGGTTATATCAATTTATTCTTTTGTACCACCTTCATCTATATTTCATATTAACTCTTATTTTCTTGAAATAGCTCTTGGATCAATGTCTTCAAATTATTGATCCAAAATTATTCAATTATTTAAAATTAAAAAAACTTACTGCAGAAATTTATGCTTTTCCTTGTAAGCATTTTCCTTGATCACTTACTTTATATATAATATATATATATATATATATA